CATCCATCCATCCTTTCCTTCCTTCCTTCCTTCCTTCCTTCCTTCCTTCCTTCCTTCCTTCCTTCCTTCCTTCCTTCCTCCCTTCCTTCCTTCCTTCCTTCCTTCCTTCCTTCCTTCCTTCCTTCCTTCCCTCTTCTCCCTCCCTCTCACTCTCCCTCCCTTCCTTCCATCATCCATCCATCCTTTCCTTCCTTCCTTCCTTCCTTTCTCCTTCCCTCCCTCCCTCTCACTCTCCCTCCCTTCCATCATCCATCCATCCATCCTTTGCTTCCTTCCTCCCTTCCTCCCTATTTATTTTTATCCCCTTGTATTCTGCCCTTAGGAAACATTGTTGGAGTCGGGCAGTGCCTCCTGCACGGAATGACGGTGGTGATCCGGAGGAAGTTTTCGGCTTCTCATTTTTGGGACGATTGTGTCAAGTACAACTGCACGGTGAGGCAGGGTGGACCCTCAGCGGGAGGGAAGAAGGATCACAGGTCTATTTGTGTGTGTGTGTGTGAGAGAGAGAGAGAGAAAACAGAGAGGAGAAAGAAAGGAGAGAGAGGGACAGAAGGGAAGGGAGTAGGAGAGAGAGAGAAAGACAGAAAACAGAGAGAGAAACAGAGGGGAGGGAGGGAGAGGGAGAAAGAGAAAGACAGAAAACAGGAGAGAGAGAGAGAAAGGAGAGGGGGGGAATGAGAGAAAGACAGAAAACAGGAGAAAGAGAGAGAAAGAAAGGAGAGAGAGGAATGGGGAGAGAGAGAGAGGAGAGAAAGAGAAAGACAGAAAACAGAGGAGAAAGAGAGAGAAAGAAAGGAGAGAGAGGAAGGGAGAGAGAGAGAGAGAGGAGAGAAAGAGAAAGACAAAAAACAGAGAGGAGAGAGATTCTGTTTAATAGCTGTGCAAAACATCAGCTTAGTTCATCAAATGCCACATCAGACCCTTGTTTGCCTTCCGGCTTAATCCTGGCTTTTCTTCCTGTTCAGATTTTTAAATATCCCCGTGGTGTAGGTACCCAAAGGAAGGTAAACATTTAATAAACGGGCTGAGTCCCCCCCCCCCCCCGTTTTGGTGTTTTTTAAAAATTTTAAATCAAAAACAGACGGAACTGATGTAGAATTGGCACCTCGGATCATTCATGAATGGGAAATTCTCACCCGACATGGACTTCTTTTTATTTATTTATTTGTTTGTTTATTTGTTTGTTTGTTTATTTAGACACCTAAGCAGACCAAGGCTTCTAGAACAAATAAGGCATGTCGGGGAGGGGTGGGGGGAATTTAATCAGTTTTATGCAAGATTCAAACGAGTTGAAGGAACAGGCCGATGTCTCTGATCTCCAAAATTTATGCAAAGGTGTAGACATGGGTTGCGGTTTCTAAACACAAATCCAAGCCGTAAATCTAAGCCCAATCTTAAAAGACAAATATTAAGACACAATCTTAAAAGACAAACATCCTAATTCAGAGGTCTCCAGACTTGGCAACTTGAAGACTTGTGGACTTCCAGAATTCCCCAGCCAGCATACTTTACTCTCTTGTAATCCCTTCCTCTGCAATCTCCACTTCAGGAGGTTAAGAGAAAAAAGAAACAGGCATTGCACCAAGGGCTCCAATTACAATTGGGATTATTATTATTATTATTATTATTATTATTATTATTATTATTATTATACATGAAACTCAGTCAACTGAACATATATATCACAGATATCATTGACTGGCGCTGATTATTGATATGGATTGCTGCCAACAATAAATTATTATTATAAACTTTTATTCTTTTAAACATGAAAGTCAGCCAACTGAACATTTAAAAATACATCACAAATATCATTGACTGGGGCTGATGGTTGATACGAGTTGCTGACAGCATCCTAGGTGTCAACCAAGTATCTTCTTAAGATGTACAATGCTCCGAGTAGCGCAGGGTTTTTTTTGCAGTTCGGCTGGTGTTATTGCTGCAATTTCTTCATGTGCTTTATAAAATTCTTGGACATGGTACCAAGTGCCCCGAGAACAATGGGTATCATTGTCACAATCACGTAGGTTCAATATTTTGTGATTTTTTTTCCCCCCACTTCTTTTTCTTCAACTCTGGCGTCTCCCGGTACCGTGATATCAATAAATTGTATGCTTCGGTTTTCGACAACTCTGATATCTGGCATGTTGTGTTGCCAAATGACAATCCGCCTGTACGCGAAAGTCCCACCTTGTGAAAGCATCTTCTGAAAGCATCTTGTGGCTTTCAGATTGTACAGTACATCGGAGAGATTTGCCGGTACTTGCTGAACCAGCCGTCCAAAGAGGTGGAGCGTCAGCACCGAGTTCGAATGGCGCTGGGGAACGGCCTGCGGGCCTCCATCTGGAAGGAGTTCAGCGAACGTTTTGGCATCCCTCAGATTGCCGAGTTTTATGGCTCCACCGAGTGCAATTGCAGCGTGGGGAACTTTGACAACAAGGTAGGAGAAGCAAGGAAGAGAGAAAGAAAAAACCTCTGGAGTTCAGGGCTGAATTGGGGAGGTCTTGGTGGGCTCTCTGAGCTGGGTGGCTTTCTTGCAGACGTTTCATGACCCAGCTGAGTAACATCCTCAGTGCTAGAAGGGAGAGGGGAGGAGGAGGAAGAGGACTGTGGGATCCTTGATGCTCCCTGACCTTGGTGGTTTTCTTGCAGACGTTTCATGACCCAGATGAGTAACATTATCAGTGCTAGAAGGGAGTGGGGTTTGTAGAATGGAGGAGGAAGGGGGAGGAGGAAGAGGAGGAGGAGGACTGTGGGGTCCTTGGTGCTCTCTGAGCTGCATGGCTTTCTTGAAGACATTTCATTGCCCTACTAGGGAACATCATCAGTGCTAGAAGGGAGAGGTGGGGAGGAGGGGGTGGTGAGAGGTCCTTGAGGCTCTCTGAGTTTGGTGGGTTTGGTTTTTTTTTAAATTTTTTATTGATTTTTAAAAAACAAACATAAACAAACATAAAACATCTTTTTTGAAAGCAGCTTGATCCCGGGTTACATCTCTTCGTACAGACACAAATTCAAATGCATGTTCATTTTATATAGCATTTCATATCTTATTACCATTCTACATTTTCTCTATAGCTTCTCCCCTCTTTTAACTTTCTTAATTTTATTTTATTTATTTCATCTCAATTCAGATCATTATACTTATATTCTTTGTCTGTCCTGCTTCCAGCTGTCTATTATCTTTTCTCATTAGACAAAATTTCTCCTGTAATCACTGATTGGAGTATGATGCCTTTATATCTTTCCCCTAAATTTATAACATAAATTAATATAATACATAACTTCCATTCGGATTCTGCTTAGTACATTCTAAAGTTACACACTATATTTTAAAAAGAGAAAAAATCATAAATATATAATATAGTTAAAACAACAAATCCATGTCAATTCAAATCTATTGTTAATATTAGTATTCATTTACATCTTAAACATCTTACACGTTACTTTTCAAATAAGTATCATACTTCTATGGGAACTGAGTTTGGTAGTTGTCTTGTAGACGTTTCATGACCCAACTAGGGAACATCATCAGTGCTAGAAGGGAGTGGGGTTTGCAGAATGAAAGAGGAGGAGAAAGGGAAGAGGAGGAGAAAGAGGAGGACTATGGGGTCCTTGGTGTTCTCTGAGCTGGGTGGCTTTCTTACAGACATTTCATGACCCAACTAGGGAACATCATCAGTGCTAGAAGAGAGTGGGTTTTGCAGAATGAAAGAGGAGGAGAAAGAGGAGGACTATGGGGTCCTTGGTGTTTTCTGAGCTGGGTGGCTTTCTTACAGACATTTCATGACCCAACTAGGTAACATCATCAGTGCTAGAAGGGAGAGGGGAGGAGGAGGAGGACCGTGGGGTCCTTGATGCTCCCTGACCTTGGTAGTTTACTTGCAGACATTTCGTTGGCCAACTAGGGAACATCATCAGTGCTAGACGGAAGCAGGCTTTGTGGGGTGGAGGAGAAGGAAGGGGAAGCATCAAATGACATTGAGGATGAAGTGGATGTTCCCTTGCTGGGTCATGAAATGCCAACCACCCAGCTCAGAGAGCACCAAGGGCTCCAAAGGAGAAGTTGTGCCCAGGGGAACAACACGAGTCCCGCCTGTTCTTCTTCTGAGTCCGTTTCTCCACATTTCTCCCCTCTGCAGTTGGGGGCCTGTGGCTTCAACAGCAGAATCTTGCCCCACGTTTACCCCATCAAGCTAGTGAAAGTGAACGAAGACACCATGGAGCTGATCCGGGGACCAGATGGGCTCTGCGTGAGGTGTAAACCAGGTGAGACCAGGAAGTGGAGGCGATGGAGGACTATGATGATAAAGGGATTGTCTGTTTAGTCTTGATAGCTGCAAGGATGGTCTTTGCACAATATTGGAAAAATGAGAGAACACCCCCATCAGGTGAGGGAGATAATCCGGAAGATACGAGACTGTGTCCGATCAAAGCTCTTTCTCCTTTTATTTATTTATTTTTTGATCGTGTGGATCTTTGTGTAACTTCATTTCCAAATTCTTAAGTTTGTCTTGCAATGCGATTTCTTGTTTCCTTTTTTTTTTCTTTATTTCTTCGTATTGCGAATGCTATTGTTAGTCCTCTTATATGTATTCTTTTGTGGCGTCCCCCCAAGTTTTGAAGTTGAAGTTAAATTCTTGAGCCTGGGAAAATGGGAGGGGGGGGATTTCTTGGAGCGTACGTGGCTAGACATAATAGCATTTTTTTTCTAAGTCAAGGTCATGTTATTTCTGCACCTGGGTGAGAGGACGTCTCAAGTTGGGACGGATGGTGATTGGTGCATGTGATGCTAAGATGGGTGCAGGGGGTGGATTTGTAATTTTTTACTGATTGCAAGGAAACTCGGAACTTTCAGATTCGGTATTTCCCAGATGTGCCAGTTTACTATCCAAATAAAACAGAACTTTTGAGAGGATGATGTCTGGATCGGAGTTATTTGTTGGAGTGGAGGCGTTCTGGAACGCTGACATTGATGGTGGAAGCTTCTTAGATGCCTTCAACTTCACGTTCTGCTGCAAGCATCAGAAGACCTCCAAGGGCCTGGTGGACCCCCAGAATCCTGAAAAATCTCAAATCCAGCCTTCTTCCTTTCTCTTTGTCCCCAGGGGAACCCGGCCAGCTGGTGGGGCGCATCGTCCAAAGCGACCCGTTGCAGCGTTTTGATGGCTACCTCAACCACGAGGCCAACAACAAGAAAATAGCCCGAGATGTCTTCACCAAAGGCGACTCTGCCTACCTCTCAGGTGAACCTTCCTCTGTTCTTCTTTTGGGGTATAATAATTCTCACTAGACGGAAAAAAACAACAATCCAAAGGCTGTTTAGAGGGAGCTGGGAAAATGCGGAAAAATTAGGATATATCATGGAAGAGAAGAGAAGCTGGAAGGGACCTTGGAGGTCTTCTAATCCAGCCCCCTGCTGAAGGAGGAGAATTATACCATTCCAGAAAGGAA